AGACATTTGGACAGATGGACACACAGACTGCCGGACAGAGACACACACACAGTTGGACAGATGGACACACAGACTGCCGGACAGAGACGCACACCCACAGTTGGACAGATGGACGGGCACTGAGCCTCAGACAAAGGCTGACAGGCTGCCAAGCTCTCTGACTCCTGCATTCTGCTAATAACTGTGCAGCTCCCTGGCTCTGTCTGTCCCACTGCCTGGTGACCCCGCGCTCTGCGCCGGCCAGCTGGCTCCCCTAGTAAATGTCACGGCCGGCGGCGTCGGCGGTCAGAGCCTTCCTGCCGCATTCCGAGAGCAACCAGAGCCGCTGCCCTGATCCTCTGCCCACACGAGCCACTGTCCTGATGCCATTCCCACCAGCACTCGGGATACAGGATCCCTCCCAGGAGAGGCACTGCCAGCGTCCTTCTGTCCTCCCTCATCCCTCTCTCCCCCTGCACCTCTCTCCTCCCTCATCCCTCTCTCCCCCTGCACCTCTCTCCTCCCTCATCCCTCTCTCCCCCTGCACCTCTCTCTCCTCCCTCATCCCTCTCTCCCCCTGCACCTCTCTCTCTCTCCCTGCACCTCTCTCTCTCCCTGCACCTCTCTCTCCTCCCTCATCCCTCTCTCCCTCCTCCCTCATCCCTCTCTCCCCCTGCACCTCTCTCTCTCCCTGCACCTCTCTCTCCTCCCTCATCCCTCTCTCCCTCATCCCTCTCTCCCCCTGCACCTCTCCTCCCTCATCCCTCACTCTGTTCCTTTTCTTCCACCCTCTCCTCCCTCATCCCTCTGTCCTCCCTCCCCGCTCCCTGCCTCCCCCTGCTGGACACTCACAGCTCCACGATCAGCACGACCTCCGCCCTGCTCTCGAACACGTCCTTCAGGGCCATGATGTTGGTGTGCTGCAGAGACTGCAGGACTTCCACCTCCCTCTCCACCGCCTTCCTCTCCAGCCCCAGCCGGCTCGTCGCATTCTTCCGGATCTTCAGGAACTTCCCAGCCCACGGCGTTCCCGTCGCCTTCTCCCGCACATGGCGCACCTGTCCAAAGTGACCGCTGGGAAGAGCCGAGAGGAAGAGGCGTTAAGAGAGCACAACATCTGTAAAGCAGACAATCTGATGCTGAGATATTCTCTCATGGTCGTCTGCGGAGATCTCACCTGCCCAGGACATCCCCAATCTCATACAGGTCCTCCACGTTCTCCACCTTAAACACTGCCATCCCAACTCACAAGGGCACTGTTACTGCATCCTGTACTGCACTGGAGCAGAGAGAGAGGACCACTGTTAGTGCACTGGAGCAGAGAGAGAGGACCACTGTTAGTGCACTGGAGCACAGAGAGAGAGGACCACTGTTAGTGCACTGGAGCAGAAAGAGAGAGGAGCACTGTTAGTGCACTGGAGCAGA